ATGGGCTCCGGCTCCCCCTTACCCTGTATTGGATAAAGTGCTAAGAAAATGGAAGGATGGATTTTGGGGATATTGATGCTGAAACACGGTGTCAGTTCAAGCTGCTGGAGAAGTTTTAAGTGGATGAATTAAAAAACAAATGTGCTAAGATCCAGAGTCCCCAGCAAAATCAGCCATTTCTAGCCCAGATGTTGGCAGTGAGGTACTGGTGATGTATGGGACATATTTGTCCGCTACACCTGCTGGCTTTATAGTGCTGTGCACCATTAATACTCCATACCTACTTCCTGCCAACAAGCATTAGAGTTTGAAGCAAACAACGAGTCCTTGTGGTTCTCAGCACGCTGCCGTCACTGAAGCCCAACACAGGTTCCACATTCCCTGACCACGCTGTTTGCCTGGTCTCTCATGAAACGGCAGTGGGCTCTGCTTATTTCTATACTTTTCTGAGCCTGACTGAGACTCTGGGCCTATGTGGCACGTCTAATCAATTCACTGGGACTTTAAATGCTTTGAGAACACACCCCTTTGTCTTATTGGCTAAGAAGACAGTGATTGGGACTCCGCGACCAGACTTTTGTGGTTCCAGTCCCAGGTGGGAAAAGTGCTTTTGTACCCTTGATTAAGGTATTTTTCTCATATTGCTCCTGTAAAATGCCTGCTGTAGTTGTATTGATGTGTACAAATAGTTTTGGAAAAAAACGCATTAGACAAATTGGCAAATCATCCAGATTGGACAACAGACTTCTGCGCCTAAGACTTCACCAATGGGGTTCAGAAAACTGTGCAACACCAAAATGTTTCCCCTAACCCTATCCTCTGCAGAAGTCTGCCCCAGATTCCTTCCTGTCCTTATGTTATAGAAGTCCAGAAGGACTTGTCCAGGAGTGTGAATATGAGGTTAAGGAATCTGCCAGGAATAACTCATGTAGGTTTAGACACATTAAAGAACACAACTGCCAGAATGCAGACAATACAAATTATTTGTAAGAAGAAAGGGCAACGTTGCACAGATGACCGAGCATGATCAGTTTTCTGCCTGTGGAGACACCAGGAATGACGATAACTGCAAGTGTGCGTTGTGTTTGTGTGCACATGTGTGTGGGGGGGCCAGTTGTTAAGACCCTCCCCACCACACACACACACACACTCTCACAACATCCTGTGGTTGGGGGGCAAATGCTGACAGTGTGTGTTTGGGGTCTGCCCTCCCCTCGCTCAGGCCTGTAATTAGCAAGGAAGCGTCAGGAGACTGTGCTTCCTGTCGGAGCGTCGACAGGTGTGTGTGCACGACCCTGGGGTCAGGCCCGACAGGCTCAGGCGCCCCATGACAGGCTAGTGATCACTCCCACAGCTAGGGGTGTGATTCAGCACAGAGTGTGTGTGCACGTGTGTGTGCTGTGCACAGGGGCTCAGCGTTTAATATGTGCACAACAGGCTGCCAAGCTAAATGCAAATAGAACGACCGCGGCAAAACACCGGGCACAAAACGGAGCCAGCACCAACACATACTGGTGTTACTGTTGGGTGTTTTGTCTGGAGGATGAAAGCGAGGGAGCGTCTGTGGGAAGTCCCCGGTGGAGAAAGGCTGAGGTGTGTGGTGCATACCTGAACACCCTTAACTGCTTTTTAACTGCATTGCAAATTTTTGTTTTTGTTCTCTGCACCAGTGATTTTTAAGGCCGCGCGCACCCCGAGGGGGAACTTGCTCCGTCTCCCGTCTCTCCGTCTCTCTCTCTCTCTGTCTCCAGCCGTCTGTCAACAGGGTTCTGGGTTTTCAGCACTGCTCCGTCAGCCTGCCCCGGCACGGCCTGCC